ACCTCTTAGGAAAAAACTTAAGAGACCACCACCAAATTTCTTTCAAAGATTTTAAAAACACAAGTTGGACCAATAATTATCTTAGATTTTACAAGCACTAAAAATCTAACAATTAACATCTCATTTATAGAAGCTTTAGAACAAGTGCCTTTTTATGTTAATATTATGAATGATATCCTTAATAAGAAATGCAAATTAAGTGATTATGAGACTATGGTCTTAACTGTGGAGTATAGTGCTATCATACAAAATAGAATTTCACAAAAAAAATGAAGGATCTGTGAAGTTTCACTATCCCTTGTACTATAGGAGACACGTTCTTTGGGAAAATATTGTGTGACCTAAGTAATGTAATATTTTGCTTTCTATTTTATTGTGCACACCATAAATCTTGAAAATTTTTTGACTATATGATTAGATATGCCATTTAAAGAATATATACCACCTTACAAGATATAAATATTATAGTGAAAGAGATCTAATCATTTGGATGATAAATATTTTTAAGATTTATGATTACCTTATGGGTGTAAGATAGGGTTTAGATTATTATGATATTTGGTATCCCTGCAAGGACAAGCCGTCATATTTAATTATATCTCTGAAGCTATAAACTCTAGATTAAAATATTGACTTATTCTACTTAAATTTTAATGTTAAACTTTCAAAGTTAATATTTCAAACAAGTTGAATTGATCCAAGTTTAAAATTTTGGAAGAGTTGAGCTCAAAGGTTGGGACTTATAATCTAATAGTGGTGTGTCATGGAAACGCCCAAGAAAGGGGATTTGACCATCCCATAAAGAAAGGTCCATCCAAAAAACTGAAGACTTGGTGATGATTAAGGAAAATTGGAGTTAAGGTCAACAAAGTATTTAAAATAGTTTGGATGAATATGAATGATTGAGAAGGTCATGTTTTGAGGTATGAATTGGGAAAATAGTTCGAAAGTTTGGTTTTGAATTGTTTGTATTGAAAGGATTCCTAAGCTAAGGATGTAGAGTTGGGTAAAAAGGCATTTATAGATGGAGGTGAAAACTCTAATTTTGGCATAAGCCAAAACTCTATAGGAAGCCAAAACGTGTGGACTAAAATAAAATTTGGGAAAAATGGCCCCGGTCAAGATGCTCATAATTTTTAATTATCTCGAGTGCATAAGTATTCTTTAACCATGAACCAATCTTATAACAAAAAAATCTCCATTTAGTGTCATAACAATGGTAAATGGAGGGTTTCTTAGCTATGGTTGGTTAGTTGTGCCTTCGTTAATAACCATGTGTTACTTCATCCCATGGCATCTACATAATTTTAGGGGGTAAGGCTATTTGTTTTATATGTCATAGTCCTTAGCACTAATTAGGGTATCTAGTAGTATAACATAGGCTTCTAGATTGAATTAATCTACGGTATGTGTAATCCTCATTTTTGTATCTACGGTAGTTAACCTGGGGTTCACGGGTTTTCATTTTTTTAAATTGGAGTATTTTAAATTTTATTTGGGTTTTGATATTTAATTCTTAATTTTTTTAATCTTGATTTTTTTTAATTCTTAATTTGTCGGTTGATATGATAATCAGAGTTCTCTCTAGATTTAATATTTTGCACTTGGTTTTCTAGGTTGGTATCTTCCTTTCTCCTTAAGTTTGGATTTCCATGTTTGAAATTGTATGTCAATTGCAAGATTATGTGATTAAATTTATTTTAAATTTTCAAGTAATTTAAAGGTTGCAAATTTTTAAGTTTTAAAAGCTTTATTTTGAATGTTTAAATCTTTTGAGTTATTTTAATTTAAATGTCTTATTTATCTTACGTTAATTAGTTTAAGTCCTTTTAAGTTACTCTATGCTAGTTTGTTTAAGTATTTTAGTTATCCTTAGGTTATTTAGGTTAAGTGTTTGTAGTTAACTAAGATTTTTTAGTTTAACTATCCAACTTATCTTAATTATTTTAAGCTTTTTTATGGGTACATTAAGTTAATTATTTAAAATTTTTTTATGCTTTCATCCAACTTAAGTGTCTTAAGAATTTATTTTTAAAGTTTTTTTCAAACTATTCTTAACTTGTTTCGAGTTATCTTTTAAATTATTTTTTCAAAATTATTTAATAATTAATGTTAAAATTATTTTTAGTTTATATTTCAAATCATTTTTAAATTATTTTCAATTTAATTTTAAACACGTGATCTTTTAAAATGACATATTTTCTCTTTTTCTTTTATTATTATTATTATTATTATTATTATTATTATTATTATTTTTATTTTTATGAGCGCATGAGATAATATCAACTGGGGAGATGGAGTGTGAGAGCTGCCATGCGTGAGTTATTTTAATAGGAGAGGATACAAGGAGAATCTACATATGTGAGATTTTCCTTCTCTTTTTCTTTTATCCATTTTTATATACACATAACTACACATTACATAGATTTAGAATGAACTAAATATGAGATATACAAAGAGCAATACACATGAAAAATAATACAATAGAAGCAATGTCACTTAAACTAGACTACACATGAAGGATAGGGTAAGGCTAGTTTAGGCTAGTGTTAGTCTAAGGTGGGGTTCAGCTAGGTTGGGCTAGGTTGAGATGGGTTCAACTAGTTTGGGCTAGGTTGAGCTGGAGTTCAGCTAGGTTGGGCTAGGGGCTAGTTTGGGCCTGGGTTAGGCTAGGTTGGGCTAGAGTTAAGTTAGGTTGGGTTTGGGCTAGCTTGATTCTGACTCGAACATAATCTTAAACTATTTGATTTATTTAATTAGTTTTTACAAATAATAAAAAATAAAATAGAAAGAAAAGGTTGCTTTATATGACTTTTCTTCTTGTAATTTTCTTTCATGGGAAACTCTTAATTCCATGTGTAGTTTCAATGTTATTTGCTTCATATAAATTTTTCTCCATGAATTTACTTTATGTAATTTTCTGTATGTAGTTATCTTTCATATGAAACACTTAGTTTCATGTGTAGTCTATTAGTAGTTTGCTTCATGTAATTTTTTCCTTATAGTTTTATGTAGTCATTCTGTAGTTTGCTTCACATGAATTTTTCTCCTAGCTTTATGTAGTCTCCATGTAGTTTGCTTCACATGAATTTTTCTCCATATATTTTCTTCATGTAATTTTCTCCATGTGAAACACTTAGTTGTATGTGTAGTCTTAATGTAGTTTGCTTCATATGAATTTTTCTCCATGTATTTTCTTCATGTAATTTTCTCCATGTGAAACATTCCGTTTTATGTGTAGTCTCCATGTAGTTTGCTTCATGCAAATTTCTTTTCATGTAGTTTTCTCCATGTAAAATCTTTACCATGTAAAACTTTTCCATATTTAATCCCCACCATGTATAGATTATTTTTATGTGTTACGTATTATGCTATGTGTTCACTATGTAAACTTGAAAGTCTTCCATGTGCTCAATTTTTCTCCATGTACAACCTCTAGGATAGTTTGCTTTCATTTGTAAGACTAGAATATCCATATTTATAAGTCTTCACCATATGTAGATCCCTAAAAATGTAGTCTCACCATGTATAATTTCATGTGTAGTCTTCTCCTTTTATAGTATGCTCCATATATAGCACCATCATGTGTTAATTTTTAAAATGTTTAATGTTTACTATGTGTAGTTTAAGTCATGTGTAGTCTCCATGTATAAACTTCTCTATATGTGATCTTTTTCATATGTTAGTATATGAAATTGAAATATTTTCACATGGTTTTTTTCCATTTGTCTCCATGTAAAAATTTTTCCATGTGAAGATGTCTCCACATGCTTTTAATATTCTTTCATGTGAAGATACATCCATATGTTTTATACGTTCTTCATGTGTTAAGTAATACATCATATGTTTATTATGCAATAAAGAAAAGTAAAAAGAGAGAACTTCCCATGTGTAAGTTTGTGTAATGTGAAAGGATGTTAAATTTATGTGTTTAGTGTATGTCACTTGCAAGCTCATAAAATTAAAATATGTTAAGTTACAAATTTAATTAACTTAAGCCTAAATTACTTATAAATTATAGTTTAAAATCCTTAAAATACTTAAAGCTTTTAAAGCTTAAAAAACAATGCTTTAAAAATAATCAAAACTTTCAAACACTTACAAAAATTTCAGACACATTGAAACTTTTTAAGCTTTTAAAGTCATTTAAAATTTTAAAACACTTTAAACCTTTAGAATGCATTAAAATTTTAAAACTCAATGCATTTTGAAACTTTTAAAACACTCAAACATTCATTCATTTAAAATCATTAAAAAATTTTAAAACATTTAAAATTTCATTCACTTAAAAACCTTATAAGCTTTAAAAATTCTTTAAAAAATTCAAATCATTTTGTCCCTTTAAAACACATTAAATTTTCCAAATTTTAAAACACTTTAAACCTTAAAAACACTTTAAACTTTAAAAATACTTAAACTTTGAATCATTTAAACTTTCAAAACACTTAAACTTGGAATCATTTAAAATTTAAATTTTCCAAAATAACATTTCAAACTATTTAAGTAATCGCCTCTCTAAATTATAAGCTTATAACTTTTTAATTACTAAAATTTATAACATTTCAAGCAATTTACAAGGCAATCCTTTCAACTTACAATCTTTTGCTTATACATTCTCATATCAAATAATATAAGCTAGCAATTTTCATGTAAACTTCAATGATGAAGGCACCGACCCAACACTAAAAACCAAACATAAGGATGAAACTAACGGAGAACTCTAACTTAGGATAAAAATCAAATGCAAATCCTTAAACTTAGAACTTTGATTCTCAAATTGATTGATAAATATGAGATTGAGCCAACTTAATACTAAAATATTAATAAACTCACCAAAATAAAAATCTAAGATTCAACAAATTAAATAATTAAAATCACACCTAAGTAGATCAACTGTGAACCATAGGCTAGTCAATTTAGAAATGAAACCTAGGATCAGACATAGTCCTAGAATAATCTATGTTTAAAAGCCTAACAACTTACTCGATAACCTTAGTTAATGCTAGGGATTATGACATATAAAAACCCAATCCTTTGCCCCCTTTGACTAAAACAAAAACTAAAGGAAGAAAAAAAAAGCAACCCCAACTAATCTTTCCATAATTTTCAATACCGGCTAATCTGTTTTTATTAATGATTCAAAAATGCTTTCGTGAAGCCGAATATATTCTCCCCCTGATCTGATGCCAGATGATATGTATTCTAGCCTCCATTTGCTGCGTGAAAAGCCCCAAGTGCTCTTCTGCTACTTTTGAAATTTGATCACGAGAGTGGAGTTGCGTCCCACTCAAATTTTTATCCATTTAAGACGAACAATTCCAAACAAAACCTGCTTTCGAACGTTGTGCTAGATAGAGAATCTACTTCCACACAACTTTTTTTCTTCTTTTTATAATAATAGAACAACACTAAGTATTGCAATCCTAACGCTGAATGAAGGTTACATGAGGTCGGTAGGAGCGCCTCTGATTGTTAACCTGCAAAGAAGAACATAATATTCTTCTGATGTTAGAGAAATTTTATGAGGTATGGATGGAAGAAAAGCATAAAGTATAGCAAAGAGAACTTACAAGCTCTTTTCACAAAGGAAATGAAGACCACTAAGAGAGCCACCCCGGCCAATATGCCCACTATAATTGCCACTGTCCTTCCAATGTCGTCATCAGTGTAATCTATTCATAATCAAATTAGAAAAACCACTTAGAATTAAAGAAGCATTTCGTATCTACTTTTTGCTCAAACGTCTATCCACTTAGCATAAAACGTAATCATGTTCTGAACAAAATATGCTTGTTAGTGAGCGTAAGGAATTTTTGCTTTTAGTTGAATCTGACAAGACGGAATAAATGGATGCTCTATATTAAGGAGAAGATTACAGTGAAAATTTAAATCTTGTTTCTTTATAAGTTAAAGGAGTACGTTCATTTTCTTATAGGAAGGTTAGCAAAAGAAAACGGCTATTTGTCAAACAAAATCTACTTTATTTGCCTCTGGCTCTCTTTAGCTATTATGACGTTAGGTTCCCCAGCAGAGAGTTTTAGTTATCAGGAGAAATTAGTCCGTATGGACACCGCATGCAGAAATTAGTCCGTACGGACACCACATGCAGAGATGCATGCGGTGTCTGATCTCCACCGTCGATCACCGCAATCTGAATTTTTTTTTTAAAAGAAAAAAGTTGAAAGTGGGTCCCATCGAAATACATCTTTGCGGTGATCGATGACGGAGATCAGACGCCGCATACATCTCTGCATGCGGTGTCCGAATGAAATAACTTTTCTAGTTACAGGTAAGTATTAGATGGATATATCTTATTAAAAGAACAATATAATTGATCAGAAATAATCCACGGAAAGAAAATACTAACAAAGAACAATATATATTATGCATGATGCTCAACTAATAACAACTATAAAAACTCTCATATTTTTTAAACCATTGATTAAATCTTCATTTAACAAATCATTTTACAAAATTAGGTTAGGATTTCATGCCCCACTTTTTTTATTTCAGGAAGTACTAGTCTTGTTGAGGAGAATTTATTCCATACGGAACAGTTACGCAACACTGCGTGCAAACTTCCAATAATATACCACCACGTTAAGGTTATTGTAGTGAAACAGCGAAAATTATTGAGGGGTTATTAGGGTGTTATTATGAGGTTATTGTGGGGTTATGCAAAACGCAGAGATTATTGGGAGGTTTATTAGAGTGTTATTATTAGGTTATTGTGGAGTGTAATCTTGGAGGTTTATTGAGAGGTTATTGGAAGTATAACAGTAGAGGTTATTGAAAGATTATTGCGGCGTTATTAGAATTAATCCTTCAATAACCCCCCAATTACCCTCTCAATAACTTCCGCGGTTCCACTTCAATAATCTCCGTGGGAGCTGGACCCGATATAACATATATGACGGCATATTATTGAAGTACGCACGCAATGCTGCGTACGTGCTCCGTATATAGTAATTTCTCCTCTTTGAGGCAGCTGCATGAAGCTCCTAATTAAAAAAAAAACTGTTTTACCTATTATAAATTTATTTATTTTTTTAAATCACAGCTGAAACTCTAATTTTCTCAAAAAAAAAAAAGGTAAAATATATTTTTAGTAAACATAAAAAAAATACGGTACAACCCCAAACCCACCGGCAACAAACCTGCTGCCGCAGCGGCGCGAGGATAATACCCAGACGCCCAGAATCGCGCGTAACACTGCTCCAGAAACAAATCTGCCGCAAGCGACGCGCCGCACATGCTCTTAAGCTGCCCCACAGCCTGAGCCAGACAAGTCGCGCAGTCACCAGGACTCAAATCTCCCACGCACTCCGCAAAACCCTGTACTTTCCCCGAGCTACTGACCTTAAATCCCTCCCCGCTCCCTAAATCATCAAGCACATCATCCCGCCGCCTCAAGAACTCCCCCCCGTCCCCTCCGCCCAACTCACTGCTGCATCTCTTGTACGCCACCGATGTGTCCAACTTCCCCAAAAAATCATCTTTGCTGTAGCGCACCAGACAACCATCCAGCTGCAGAGCCGCCGCGTAGCCTTCGGGGCACACGAGCAACACTTGGCCCACCGCGCTCTGGACGCAAGAGGAGCACTCGGCGGCGCTCAGGTCATGGCGGCACTGGTAGAGGCCGTAGGCGGAGGAAGAGTTTCCGAAGGCGAAGCTGTTGTAGGAGGAGGATGTGGCAGAGTTGGCGAGGGAGGAGAGGAGGGATTGGAGGTTGGATTGGAAGGGGGTGTTGGATGGGTATTGGGAGGGGAAGCAGGAGGCGTAGATGAAGCTGTTGCTGGCTCGAACTATGGAGGTTGTGGAGAGGAGGATGGAGAGGGAGAGGAAGAGTTGAGGTTGATGCGAGGGGAGCATCATGTCTTTGTTCCGGAATGTGTATGGAGTTGATGAGTTTGGGTTTAATGGAGGAAAAATCACCGCAAGTAAAGTTTGTGTGCGGCATGTGGACCCATAAAAATTTAGAGTGAGCTTCATTTTAAAAATAAAAAAATAAAAATATGTATTATTTCAGATAATGGAGCGCTCTTAAGGGAGGGAGAGCTCTTAACAGAGGGAGGGGGACACTGTAAAGTTCTGATAATGGAGTTTAGAATGGTATTAAATTCTCAAATAAAAAGGCATGGTAAGAAAATTACTTGAGGACAAGTAATAGTTAAGTTTAGGGGATTTTGACTCAAGGAAAATATGTTGAGATTTTCATACCTATTTTATACTATTTTTAATGATATTACACTTTAAAGAAATGTATTTTTGATGTTTTGTTGCAGGAATGATGAATTAGGGTCATGTAAGCAAAAAGATACAAAAAAGAGC